CTACTAAGCTTGAAACTCCTGGTTTGCAAAGAACAACCCTTTTTGAATTAGCTATATATATATATATATATATATATATATATATATATATATATATATATATATATATATATATATATATATATATATATATATATATATATGTATGTATATATATGTGTGATTCCTATACGGATGAAACAGACTGTATAGTGGTTTTTTGAGGTAAAACGAAAAACTATATTACGCTCTATCTATATATATGGTATTGAGAACTGTTTGTGTTACGTAAACCTAAAACTTAAGCTATATGTATATATATATATATATATATATATATATATATATATATATATATATATATATATATATATATATATATATATATATATACATATATATATAATAAATGTATAGTATGTATGCAAATATATATATATACGATTAGAAGACAAACTTGAATTACTTCATATGAACTTTATTTCACGTGAAAAAGTTCATATGAAGTAATTCAAGTTTGCCTTCTAAACTTATATATATACCGGGTGGCGCAAAAAAAAGTTAACCTGTTTGATTTGTTTTAACTTAAAAGCTAAAAGAGCTATTACACGTGAACTACGTGCATTGCATTCAGTATTGTCTAACTTAAATTTTGATATACACGCTGTGCAATTTCGTGCAATATTGACCGAGAGAGCTGCGTTTAAACATGAGTAACCATTTTTGAAAGCGTCGAGAATTAGCCAAAAACGGCCTTCAAATATTTAATACAGCAATAACCTGTGCTTAGACGCACTATAGTCAGAAAGTACACGTTTGTTGTCAGAAACCTGCCCAACGCCGCCGGTATAACCTCACGACCATCATAAACCCCTGCATATACTAAACATATCGAATCTCTTTCGTCCTTTGTCAAACGAGGCGTATTTATAAAAAATACTTGACGTTTCTTTCTTGGAACATTAGAATTTGATTCCCAGGGTCATTGAATATTTAGAATAAATCTTTTAATCAAAATCGCTTCATAATTTAATTTTCATGCATTCCCAAAGACCTTAAACAAAAATAAAAGAGCACATCCATCCAATAAACATTTTAATTTAAGCTTCACTTCATTGAAACAAATATTTACTATAAAATGGTAACGGTTATCAAATTAGTTTAACAGGCCGTATTTAGCTAATTCTCGACACTTCCCAAAATGTTTATTCAAGTTTAAACGCAGCTCTCTCGGTCAATATTGCACGATATTGCACAGGGCGTATATCAAAATTTAAGTTAGACAATACTGAATGCAATGCACGTAGTTTAGGTGTAATAGCTCTTTTAGTTTTTAAGTTAAAATAAATCAAACAGGTTAACTTTTTTTGCGCCACCCGGTATATATATATATATATATATATATATATATATATATATATATATATATATATATATATATATATATATATATATATATATATATATATGTCTATGGTGAAACTTAAAATGGCAGGCGAAACTCTATACATATATTGTTTCATTTGACTTGCTCACCACATACTATATAGTATCCTCAATTTTATGTAATATTTCAAATCCAACTACTGTGTGAAGACTGGACACGAATCACGATTTTAGCTCCGCGCAATTTGATCAAGTCCAAGGCAATGCCGAGGACTGGATCAACATGTGAGACTTGAAATTTAGTCCAGTTCGATTTGGAGGATTTGATCGAAATGACTTTTCATAAGAATGAATCACTACTTAAAGCGGGGTGAAATAATTTTAAATTAATCCAGTTCAAGGACTGAATTAATTTTGATCCAGTCCTAGAACTGAATCAATATACTTCACCAGGTTCCAGTATTATCATGTGAACAAAATACAGTAATTCATGAAAGTTTAATGAGTTTGAGATGGGTTAATAAACTGTTAATAATGACTAGCGTAATGAAGATGAAGTATAAATACCACTATTTCTACGCGATGATATGAGCACTGGGGCAATTAATGTTCCTAAAGACCTTCAGTAATGTCACCCATTTAAAGAAGAGTGCAAAATATATGTCCAAAATTCTGGACAGTGTTGGCACATGCATGTGTACCATCAATTTGTGTTCAAACACTGACTTTTTCTTTACCTCTTTGATCCATTGTACGAGTTCTTTCCTGCCCACTGGATATTCGGATTCATACAGGGCCACGGTGAATCCTTGTATTTTGAGTCGATTTCCAATTACGTTCCCCAGAAAATCTTCAACTGTATTAACAAAGTTATATTGTTATCAGAAAAAATTCTGTACTTCATTCCAACAATTAGATTTTTGCAAATTGTACTTTGTATGTAAAAAATGAAAAGGTATTAATGCAACTACGTACGTAAGGCAGGTTCTTTTGCATTGTATGTTGCAATATTACCACAAACTGCAACACGACCATCTCTATTCATTAGCTTTATTACTTTTGAAAACCCTGGACCACCAACCTGAAAGATTTAAAATATATAGATCAGTATAGGTCAAGTTTTCAGTGCATGTATTGTATTGATGTAGATTAAAGAAATTTTGTTATTTTCTGGGGCGCGCCTATGTGCAGGGGTAGAAAAAAATTTTATTTTCTGGGACCGCAACGAAAAGTGGGAAAATGTTTTGCGAGTTGTCGACACAAATGCCGTATAATTTAAATTAATTAAAGGCTCACTTGCAAAGAAGGCTAATAATTAAGATTTAATAATTATTAAATAACCATAGTACCATATAAAAGCTGTGGCAGTCCTGGACGATTTCCTTTCATAAAGCAACTGAGGGAAGAATTTAATTGAAATAAACAAGTGAGGAAAGACTGTGAATTTGTGAAAACTGGAAAGCGGTTTTAAACTATATTAATATTTGCATCATATTAATTAGTAGTCTGAAAACAAACATGATTTGGAAGCTGGACAAAAGGTATTTTAAGTTCTATGTTTTTGTTCGCCTATATGAAAATGTGTGCACTTTCACAGTGAGTGAACATTTTGTTCTGTATAATGAAGCAATTGCCCAATGGAAACCTCAGACTTCAACCGTAAGATTTTAATATTGATCAACAAATTGTGTACTTTTAGCACATTTCTAGTTTTCAACATCAATTGAACTTGGTTAGGAAACTACTTGAAGTTTACCAATCGTCCTAGCGGTGTATTTTCTATTAACTATGATTGCATTTAGTTGTGCGTTATATAATATAATCACTGGCAGACAATTTGTGAAATATTGGGTGCCAGGGGGGGGGGATAAATGTACATCTTTTGTTTATTCCGTGAGAAGACCGAGTATGCAAGGTCTGCCAGTCAGGAGAAGTTGAAACGGAACATTACTTCCTAACTTAATGTGAAGCCTTTTGTAGTCTTCGTGAAAACTTTTTAAATTACTTGGAATGTGATCCCACCAATGAAGCAGATCTAAACGAACACAATTTACCAGTTGAGATAATGAAATCAACTGATGAAACCGTGATAAAATTATCGAAATTTATTTCTTTATGTCTTGAGAAGAGATCTAAATGCCTTGAAGCCACGAATGCTGACAGTCAATATAGGCTGTTTAACTAAAACCCAAATTTCTTCAATTATATACTGTAAATACGGTACTCATCTGTAAACGAAGTCTTCCTTTATATCAATAACTTCATTTCTATTTCCTGTATTACTCGATACTGACAGTATGTCATACTACCACAAAACATTTTGCATTTGTAAACATTTATACCAACTAATAAGCAATACTTGTATGTAAAGTCATGCTAATAAAGTCATTTGTTACTGTTACTACTTCCTATAGAAATAAAAATTGGGAATCGAAAATGAGGAGGGAGGGGAACCAGGACAGTACGTGGTACGACACAAAGCCAACAAAGGGCCAAAGGGGGTAGAACAGGGTTGCCTGCAAATGAGACTACATTCCGCTATCAAAGTTCTTTCGTAAACCCCCTATGGCTACTTATTGGTGCAGTTACTCTCTCTTTCTTTCTATTCTTTTTCTTTCCTTTCTTTTTCTGTCTTTCCTTTTCCTTCTTTTCTTTCTTTCCCTTCTTTTCTTTCTTTCCCCCTATTTTTTCCTTCCCTTTTTTCTTTCTGCCAGCATAAAAAATTTTCTGGGACAATGGTCGCATGGTCCGCTATATTTTCCACCCCTGCCTATATGGAAAGTACTGCATGGGAACAAGGTTTAGCAACGATTTGAATTTACTGCATGACGAACGACAATTTGTCACAAAGATAAAAGAAATATATTCTATATCAATGAAGATTAAACTTACGTTTTCAAAGAACATGTCAATTCCATTCGGGCAAGCTTCCTTCAATGCATCTTCAACTGATGTGACGGTCTTATAATTAAACACTTCATCAAAACCCAGACTTTTGCAATACGCAACTTTTTCATCTGAACCTGCGCTGCCAACAACTCGACATCCTTTAATTTTTGCAATTTGACCAACAATAGCGCCAACTGCTCCAGCTGCACTGTTTACATACAGTGTCTCGCCTTCTTTCGGAGCCAAGATATTCAAAACACCAAAATAAGCTGTTAAACTAGAAACAATAGCTTCCATGAGTGATCACTAAAAGCCGCATATCATTGTGTATTTGAAATTTTATTTGCAAACTTTACAGAAACTTAAAAACAATATACAGGGAAACTTAAACAAATTCCTGCAATAACAGAAATATCATATACAGCTACCCTACTGTAATTCAAGATATAATTTAAGAAACTTTGAACACACCTTATTTGTACCAAAACCAAGAACGAACTACGGTATGCGAAGTTTTAGTTATAGTGAGGCAGTTTTATGGAACGAGTTACCACAAAATGTACGAACAACATGCTCCCTATAAGTCAATTCAAAAGAGCAATTGACAATCTGTTCTCTATGTGAGATGGACTTGTAAATTAGTATTTTAGTGTTTGGGTAAGTTTAAAGTGTATATTAATTGTCATAGCGTAATTGTAATTAGATGTTAGTTATAAGTTCTTTGTATGTTTGCATGGTGATAAAATATAATAGGTTTTGTTTGTGGAAACACCACGTAAATTTATTACTGCAAAGCTTTCGATCCGTAAGCCCGGATCTTCATCAGTGCTAATAATATGTCGAAAGCTTTGCAGTAATAAATTTACGTGGTGTTTCCACAAACAAAACCTATTAGATGTTAGTTAATTATCTTGTAAAATGTTTTCTGTAGATTTCACCGTGTTAAAATAAAGTTTTTGATTGATTTGATTTTTGATTGATTGATTGATAATTAAGATATGTAGATAATATATATTTGTAAATGGAAGATACATAGCTACATACTGTATATTTAATTTATAATATTACTGTATATGATTTTAAATGGCTTGCATGCAGCATGCCCACAGTCTTCATATTATTACAAGACATAGTACATATACATACATACAAACTTTATTTAAATTTTATTCAACAACCGTTGGGAGGCTGATTTCCTTGAGGGGCGTGAAATATAAAATTAACTATTTACAAGGAATAAAGAAATATAAAAGAAATTAAGATAAAATGAGACTAAATTGCAGGAAAGGGGTAAATAAAAGAAATATCGATTTGAAAAAGCTTAAGGCCTAGGATTCAGCAATTTTTGCCTCATGGGGATGATTATTCCAATGCAAGGCACGGTTATAACTGAAGCACCTCTTGCCGAATTCTTTTTTCGGCATAGGTGGTGCTAATTAATCAGTATCTCTATTTCTGAGATTGTATGTATTATGTCTTTCATTATTAAATTGAAATGCTTCTTTAAGATTGGGTGCCGGGTGTTGGCCATTCAAAATTTTATGGATGAGAATAGATTTAAGGTAGCTTCGTCTTTCTTCGAGAGGTTTCCAATTTAGATTCTCGAGTAACTCAGATGACCGGATATCGTAAGTTGCCTCAGTAATTACTCTTGCAGCACGATTTCGGTATTTTTGCAACCTATCTTTGAGGCCAATTCCGCAATTATATCCCATAACGAGTCAACCGGCTGTATAATAATCGAAATAAGGCTGTATAATAGCATTATATATGTAGCATTTTGGTTGTCGACATGCAGTGGCACAAAAGGTTTAACCCGTCTCATTGCACCAATACCGGCACCAACCTTAGAACAGAATCAATATGTTTATCCCAAGACAGCCTTTCGTCCATATTCACACCAATGTATGAATATTTATTAGTCTTGGGTACTGGCTTATTATTAATTAAAATAGGATTACTATAGATACTTTATTCTTAAGGTTATACGAAGATCCAATAAACATATGTTTCGATTTACTGGGGTGGATTTGAAGTTTGTTTTGCATTGTATCAACCATTTGCGTTTACCTTGTCGACAAGGTCAGCGCAGTCATTAGTCATTATATTTACCTTGTCGGCAAGGTCAGCCGTCAGCGCAGTCATTGTATATATGCTTTAATTACATGGTTTTATGAGTGTTAATATGAAGTACCAGTATATGCCAATAACAGGTTTCAGTAAAAAGAAGTTAATAAAAGTTAATTTCTTTTAAATTTTGTTTCAAATCATTCCATGCATTGCATCAACTTTAATTCTTTGATCCATGAGCCAACGGCGCCGTTCCGGGCGTAAGCCCAGGGCGAGGGTACTAATTCCGCACGGCTATTTACCCCCGGGGAAAGGAAAGCATTAGCGAAGCTAGTCTAAAGAAGTCTAAAGTTCATCAATAATCGTTAGCGCATAGTTATGGTTCACTGTTCATGGGTGCATGGTCATCCTCACTAATCTCAAAAATATTGCGGACTGTCATGAATAGCGAACACGGATTGGTGTGTGTTCCAAGAAGATGATTTGGATACGGTGGTGTCACAAATGGAGATGTTAAGAGGTTCAGATATGGTCGCGAGTTTTTTTTCGTTCCAACTAGCATAATTTTGGTCTTGTCAGGATGTATTGCCATTCTATTCTCATATGCCCAGGTGGCGAGGTTGTCAGCTCCTGTGTTCTTACCATATTGATCGTTGGTCCAGAATTGGCTGACGTGGTGTCATCAACATAGATATAGGAATTGCATTGATTATTTGCAAGAAGGATGTCACTGATAAATATGATGAAGAGGAGAGGCCCAAGAGATGAATCTTGCGGGACGCCACTGCGAACTAGTCAGAGTTCTGAGGTTGAGTGGTCAATTGAGACGAGTTGTTTCCGTTCTGTCAGGTACGATCCGAACCATTGCAGTGTTGCGTCTTTAAATCCGTAGATAGCAAGTTTCTGTAGAAGTTCATGGTTTATCAGGTCGAAAGCTTTCCAGAAATCTACTAAAAGTATTCAACTTACTTCACCTTTGTCCATGCTATGAAGTACGTGTCCGTAAGTTGCAGTAACATTGTTTCACAGGAATGAAAGGGCCGTGATCCAAACTGCGAGCTTCTAAGTAGGTTATATTGGCGAAAATAGCTTATGAGATGCATTCTGTAATAGCGTTCCAAGATTTTTGACAGAACTGACAACACAGAGATTGGTCTATAGTCATCTATGTCTTGGCGAGAACCCTTCTTAAGAACCGGCGTAATTTTGCTAATTTTCCACTGGTCTGGAAAAATGCCTGAGGTTATGCTGGAGTTGTAGAGGTAAAGAAGCGATGGAAGGAGATTATTGCAGCCGATCTCGAGAAAATGGACGCTGATTGCATCAATTCCCTTTGCCTTGTGACATGACAGGTTGTTGATCTCATTGACTAGATATTCAGCAGTCAGACGAAATTGTAAATTAGTGGTCTTTGTAAAGTCGAGTGTCCACAAAATTACATAAGGTATCGAAATTAGGCTGGTGATGTGCAATTTCTTTGATAACAGTATTGGAAATTTGGGAGAAATGGGAGTTGAATATCTTCGCGATTTCTCTGGGATCCGTGATCAAATCGTTGTTATCAAGTATCTGATTAGGTATTTCTTTGTTCTAATTGAGGTCTGCTGCATCTGTCATCAGTTTCCATACAGCGAAATACTATTTCACTAAAGTAGCTCACTTAAAAGATTGTAAGCAATCAACAGCGTCATCTAGCAAAGGTAACCCTGTATATCTTTTTCAACACCTTGGTAGAACCTCTGACGGAGCAGACTTAGCCAAAACAATAAATGAAGCATTTTTATCTCCACTGAGTACCTTCGAACCCCTACCGAAAGATTACGAACCACAGCCAAACGATCCACCTGCTTTACCATACGCGGTCTCTTTCAACTCTGTTTTTACCAAGCTCCCCTCGCTCAATCCAAGGAAGACCTCTGGCCAAGACGGCATACCATCTTGGCTGATTAAAGAGAATGCAGATTTATTGGTCGGCCCTATAACAGATATCATCAACTTTTCCTTTAGTGAGGGGATGTCTTCCTCCATCATGGAGAGCAGCAGGTGTAATACATATCCCTAAACAGAAGCACCTCCAAGATGTTAACCAATATCATTAACACCAGTGCTATCCAAGGTAGTTCGTAGTGGAGGAACATGTACGAGCAGCTGTGATGACGAAAATTAGTGGACGCCAGTTTGGACTTTGGATGTATTCCTAAATCCTCTACTACGCATTCTTTACTCAGTATGGTGCACTCATGGACCAAAATAGTGACGGAACTGGATCTACAATAAGGATCGTATTGTTTTATTATAAGAAGGCGTTTGATCTGGTTATTTGACTGATCTGGTTATTTGACTATCTTAAAAATCGCAAGCAAAGAGTTAAACTCTGACAGGACTGTAACTCTAAAGGGGAGATATTCCTGCAGGGGTTCCCCAAGGGACAAAACTTAGCCCATGGCTTTTCATTTTAATGATCGACGATATTATTGTTACAAATACTGAATGATGGAAACATGTGGACGACACGCCAACGTAGAGCCCGTCGCGAGAAACCAACCCGAGAAACCAAGAAAGTAAGATTTAAGATTCTGTGAACAAACTAGTAACTAAATCTAACGAGAACACGCTTGAATTGAATGAAACAAAATGCAAATAAATGCGAATTTCGTTTGCTAAGACTGTTGCAGATTTCAATCCAATTGTCATAAATGAGAAAGGTATAGACTGAGGTATAGTGTCAAGTGTCAAGTTACTTGGATAAGTTGGATTGAACATGTCGAACGATCTGAGAAGGAACTGCCTCGTATCTGAGATATCACGAAAGGCAATTACAAGACTTTACTTCCTCGGACAACTGGAGAGAGCAGGCGTTACAACCAGGGAACTCAGTGTAACCGTTTGCACCACATGCATCCGCGCCGTCATGGAGTACGCCTGCTCAGTTTATCATAACTCACTTCCCAATTATCTGTCAGACGATCTTGAATTTTTACAGAAGCGCGCCATGAGAATTATCCATCCATTTGTTAACTATCATTAAATGATGCATTAGAACTTGAAAATTTAGAAACAGCGTATAATCGTAGACATACTCAAACCATTAAGTTATTGTAAATTTTCTAATCTAATTCAGCTTAGTTTTGGCTGTATTTTTGGTATTATTAAACTATTAATCAACTATTAATCAATCATTAATCATTAATCAATCAACCACTTCAAATATTTCAAGGCGAGGGGTTTCTGCATGCATTAATATGTAGAAAGATGATGTAGTCATACCCTGGCATGCCAGCAGCACCAACTCCTACAGATGTTGGTAGGTCATCAAGGAAGTCTAATTTTGTCAAAGTTTTTCCTGGCATGATTGCATGGGTTTTGCAACCCAGAGGTCCAACAACATTTGTTCCAATGGATAATGTTTCGTCTTTACTTTCAATCACCCTAGATAAAACAAAATTTGGTTAGATACTGAAGGGTTAGATACTGAAATTAATGCTTAATCATGGTGGTGTTCCAGCTGTTCCTTACCGGTACTTTCGGTGTTAGTATTTAATTAGACAAAATTTGCTGCTTTGCAGCTTTTAAGCTAAACTTATAAGGTAGATGTTCGATTGTTTTCATATTAGCTGCGCTCATTGCATTTTGGGTATTTGCGCATTGCATTTTGGGTCTGTCATAGACCCATACATATATATATATTTTAAAAATCTAAATTTACGAAAATATTACCGAAAAATTTAACAAATCACGGTACATCAATTCCAAAGTTACTGAAAAATGGTATGTCCGGAAATATTTTTACTCACCCCCC